GTCTTCCGTGGTCAAAATAGGTTGTATTAGAAATAAAGTATATTATTATTCAAATATGGCTGAAATATCAGTTGTAGAAATAAATGGACCAAATAAAGACATTTATACTGCTGATACTTATAACCAGATGTTAGTAATATGCTCACTAAGATTTGTCAATTCTATAAGTGTAGTAAACCAACATGTGCCAATTATACTTTTGGCTATTATTTTATTTTACTTACCTACATATATCTCTGCACTATTATTTGGAAACTTTTATAAAATTCATGTTGTAACATTCTATACATGTACTACAATGTATGTATAGTAGTATATACATGTATAATTATTTTAAAATGTTTTAGACAAAATTAAACCTATTCCTACTTGCCCCCCCCCAAAAAAAAAAACTGATTGCATTCATACTTGGTACACATTTGATAAACTTAGTATTACACATACTTTTTCAATTCCCTGATTCATGTACATTAAAGGAGTATATTATTTATGGTAATAAACACCTGTTTAGCCGTTTTTGGTTGAAAAAATAATGAAGATATGTGCCACTTTGTAACTCAGAAATGTTTTGATTGATTTTCAACATCCAGACATATGTTAATTTTGGTTTTTGGATCTTCTCATGTTAAGTATGGTTTTGAGTCAAAAAGTGTAATCTTTAAAAAAGGATGAAAATTTGTGCCACATAACTCTGAATCACTGATTGATTTTCATGAAATTCTACAAACTTTAAGGTGTATCACCAAAATGTACAGATCTGACGATACTAAGTATGGCTTTTTAGTCAAAAAGGACTGAAAATGTCTGCTGCATCATCATCATCATCATAGTGTATACTTACTGCGTTATACCTAATTAAACAAGCCATGCATGGCACAGTACCAGTCAGTTATCAAATTTAAGATATATAGTTTTGTTTATAGTAATATAGTTGGAACATAAACATGTCAGAAGTATGGATCCAGAATTAATGCTTGATTATGACATTAAAATGATTGACATCTTGTATCTGATTGTCAAACAAGTACTTTTCCATATTGAGAAATGTTGCTCTGGAACAGCATTAATTAAAACAAAATGGCCACTGGTTGACCATTTTGAATATCTTTAACAAATATATATATTTGAACATAATCAGTCAAAGCATCGCATG